AAATCTGTGTTCCCAGTCCTACATCATAAGCTACCAGGTAGATATCTATTAGCTAGACATGTCATCCTGGATGTCTCACATCCACCTCAAGCTAGACATTTCCAAAATAGACTTCATTATCTTCCCAGTCCAAACCTGTTTGTTCTCTAAACTCAATACAGTTTCCACTGAAGGCACAATCATCCTCTCCAGAAACTAGGTTCAAAAATCTTGGGGTTATAAGCTTAGACTCTACTCTTTCTGATACATCCCTACCCCCCATGTCCAATTAGTTGCCACATCTTGTCTTTACTACATACACATCCCCTTGACCGTCTGGAATTTTCTCTCCATTTATGTTCAGTTCCTCATCATCTCTCTCAGACTACTATAATAGCCTTTGAATATTTCTCCTTTCTTCTAATCTCTTACCTCTCCAATCCATCCCAGCCACCAAAATAAATATTCCTCAATCACAGGTCTGATCATGATGCTTTCATTCATTGACTTTCACCGGCTCCTTCCTACATCCTGTGGGATAAAATACAAACTCCTCAGCTTGACTTTTAAAACCTGGCATACTCTGACTACAACTTAACCTTTTCTGACATATGTCATGTAACGTGAGTTTTTAGAACTCTACATTCTGGCCAGCCTATGTCAAATTTCCCAAATTCGTCACACCGTCTTCCTTTGATGTGCACTCAAAGAAGCCAGTCCTTCTCACCTCAACCTCCCCAAATCCCTGTCTCCTTCCAGGGAGCAATGTGAGTTACTTCCCTTGTTCCCTTCCCTACCCCAGCCTGCCCCCTCCCCTTTGTTAGAGTTCTTTCTTCTCCTCTTCACTTCACCTTGTAAATCCTTATTTGGGTTTAACATTTGTGTGAGAGATAACATGGCCTAGTCCTAAAGAGCTAACCTTGGAATTAGGAAGATCTGGCTTCACATTGTTCCTCTGACACATTAACTTATTAATGTGAACAGAGGCAAATCACTTAACCTCTCAGTATCTCCGGCACCTCTCTAAGACTGGAAGTGATCCACAAGTTGCTTGTCTGCATCAGTGAGTTCTTTGTACTCTGAACTCACAGGAATGGACCAAACAGTATGCCAGACCCCTTTTTGTGTAAACCCTCCAGGAGCATGTAAAGGGTCCTTGGAAACAAGGGCTATTTACTTTTTGTCTTTAAATTCCCAATGCCCAGCTCAGCACTTGATGTTTTTGTTTTATTAAATTCAAGAGTGAAGTTTTGGGGGAGAAATTGAGGCTGGCTAAGCTCTGAGAATGGTTGAGTTCTTAGAAGGAAAAAATGTGGGGGAAAATAACAGCTCTTTGCCACTACAAAGAGTAGTTATAAATTTGGGGTCTGTGTGGGATCATGTGAAAGGAAGGTATAGGCTTCTTTTTGTGTTCCTCTTATGGTTCACATCTTAAAGCTTGCTCTTTACAGTGCTTTGGGAAAGTTAATCAAATCAACAAACACTTATTTAACCTGTCACAATAGTAATGTTCTTAGAAAAGTGTTTGCCGTTGATAAATTGCTTTAACATGCCGTATAGGCCTCAGAGTGAGTTTATGAGGTTGGTATGCACATCTTGATAGTAATGAATTATCCATCATTAAAGATTTTATGTGTCAGACATAAATGTATCCCTTAACTGGTTGTCTGTCTGTGCTCAAAGGCAGCTAGGTGATGCAGTGGCTAATCTGGCTTCAGGCCAACTGTGTGACCTTGGGCAAGTCACTTAATGGCTGTTTCCCATCTGTAAAATGGGAGTAATAGTAGCACCTCTTTCCCAGGGTTGTTGTGAAGGTCAAATGAGATAATTTTTGAAAAGGGTGCAGCACAATGTCTGGCACATAGTATCAATCAATCAATATTTATTAAGCACCTATAGTATGCCAGGCACTGTGCTAAGACCTGGGAATAGAAACAAAGGCAAAAGACAGTTCCTACCCTGAAGGAGCTTATACTCTAACGGGGGAGACAGCATGTAAATAACATATACAGATAATATATACAAAAGTGCATGCAAAGTAAGCTATATGCAGAATACAGAACAAGTCGGAGATGATTAACAGAGGATAGGTATTAGAATTAAGAGGAGTTGGGAAACGTTCCCTGTAGAAAGCGGGATTTTAGTTGAGATATAAAGGAAGCCAGGGAGGTGTCAATAGTCAGAGTGGAGGAGAGAGAGGGTTCCAGGAATGGGGGCAGCCAGAGAAAATGCCCAGAGACAAGAGAATGGGCTTCTTGTTTGTGGAATAACCAGGAAGCCAGTGTAACTGGATCAGAGCGGATGTCCAGGAATGAGGTGTAAGAAAACTGGAAAGGCAGGAGGGGCCTGGGTTATGGGGGGCTTTGAATGCTAAATGGTGTTTTTGTTTGTTTGTTTGTTTGTTTAAATATCCTAAAGGCAATAAGAAGCCACTGGTTTATTGATCAGACCTGCACTTTAGGAAAATTACTCTAGTGGCTGAATGGAAGAGTGATTGATTGGAGTGGAGAGAGACCTGAGGCGGACAGACCCACCAGTAATCCATTGTAATAATACAGTTAGGTGGTGATGAGGGCCTGTACCAGAATGGTGGCAGTGTCAGAGGAGAGAAGGGGACATATTAGAGCTGGCCTTAGCAACAGCTTGGATAAGGGGGTGGGGTGGGGGATGGGAATGAGTGAGGAATCCAGGGTGACTTCTTGGTTTCAAGCCTGAGGAACTGAGATGATGTTGCCCTCTAGAGTATTAGGAAAGGAGCAGGGGGTAGGGGTGGGGTATCGGGGGTAAGCTTATGAATTCTGTTTTGGACACATTGAGTTTAAGATGTCTACTGAACATTTAGTATGAGATGTCTGAAAGGCAGTTGGAGATGTGAGATCTGAGGTCAGCAGAGAGTCTGGGGCAAGAACGGTAGATTTGAGATTCATCAGCATAGAAATGGTAATTAAATCTCAATGAGATCACCAAGAGGGAGAAGAGAAAAGGGCCCAGGACAAAACCCTGCAGGACACCTGTGTTTGAAGGGTATGATCTAGAGCAGGATCCAGCGAAGGAGACAGAGAACAACCGGGAGAAAATGGGGTTCTGAAAACCCTAGGAGAAGAGGATATCGATGAGAGGCCAAGGAGAATGAGGATTGAGAAATGGCCATTGATTTAGCAGCTAAGAAATCATTGGTGACTTTGGAGAGAACAGTTTTTGTGGACTGACAGGGTCAGAAGCCAGGGTTAAGAAGTGAGTAGTGAGAGGAGGGGAAGTGCAGGCACCTGTTTTAAATGGTCTTTTTGAGGAGTTTAGCTACAAAGGCCGGAAGAGATGTAGGAAGATAATTAGCAGGGATGGAAGGATCAAGTGAAGGTTTTTTCAGGATGGAGAAGACATGGTCATGTTTGTGTGGTGTTGTTCAATCGTATCTGACTCTTTATTTCCCTGTGGATCATACTGTCCATAATGTTTTCTTGGCAAAGATACTAGAATGGTTTGCCATTTCCTTCTCCAGTGGATTAAGGCAAACAGAGGTTAAGTGATTTGCTCAGGGTCACACACAGCTAGTACGCGTCCTAGGCTGGATTTGAACTAGGGTCTCCCTGACTGCAGGCCCAGTGCTCTTTCAACTAAGACATGTAGGGTCTAGCTGGTCATGTTTGTAGGCAGTAAGAAATGATCCAGTAGACAGGGAGAAATTGAAAATCAATGAAAGAGTGGGGATGAAAAAGGGGGCAGTCTGTTGGAGGAGATGGGAGGGAATGGTATCACTTGAACAAGTAGAGGGGTTAGCCATCATATGGGATGGGGTAAAAGAAGAAATAATGGCAGAAGGCATCTGAGTGATAAGAGAAAAGGAAGAGGGGATAAGAGGGAGGTCACAGTGAATGGCTTCATTTTTTTTCTGTAAAATATAAGACAAGGTTCTTTGCTGAGAGAGTGGGGGAGGAGGAGCCATGGGACGTTTGAGGAGGATTGAAAAGGTTTGGAAGAGCCACTGTGGAGAGTGGGATAGTGAGTTGATAAGGGAGGTATAGTAGGATTGCCTAGCAGCAGTGAGGGCCCAGTTGAGGTTGTATAACGTAGATTTGTAGTGGACCCGGTCAGAACATTTTTCTCTGCCATCTTTCAGCACATGTGTAGGAGCAAAGGAGATGAATGGTGGGAGTGATCTAAGGCTGAGGGTTGGTTGGGCATAATCAACAATATGATAGGGGGCTTAGGGATTCAAGAAAGGGCAGGGTAGAATTGAATTGGTTCACTAAGGGATCAAGATAGGGAGAAGAAGAGAAAGTGGCTAGTGCTGGGGAGATGACCTGGTAGAGAATTGAGGGGCAAAGGAATTGGAGGTGAGGGTGCAGAAGACAAGCAAAGTATGGTTTGGTAAGGGAAGGCAGAGGGAGAGGTGAAAAGCCAATAGATTATGATCAGATAAGGGAATTTCAGAATTCTTGAACATAGAGATAGTACATTTGTGAGTCACGGCAAGATCAAGGATATGACGGTCTTTCTGTGTGGTGAAAATGGTGTGGAAGAGTAATTCATGGGCGGTGAATAGGTTGAGGGACTGAGTGGTTAAGGTATTTGAGGGAGAATCACTACGTATGTTGAAGCCCCCTAGTAGGAGGGTAGGTGTTGGAGAGGAGAGGAAAATTTTGAGCCAGGTATCAAATTTATTGAGGAAGGAAGGGGAGTGATCTGGGGTTCTGTAGATAATAGCTACCAGAATTTTGATTGGGTGGTAGATAATGAATGGTAGTCACTATATAACTACTAGTTATTTTGATGATAATGATAACATAAGGTTTTTACTGGGTCCCATCCCACTAAATGTTAATCAGTTTTGATTCAATTAAAAAGAAGAACTCGTGAGTAGCAGACCTGAGCTCTTTGAGGTTGATTATTTTAGAGGCTAGGATGAGGAAATAGAAACTGATGAGCCAGCACCCTTTGGAAAGAAATGATAACTGCCATTTTGGTTTCTGTTTGTCAGCTCCATTACCTTTGATTCTTGTTTCTGTTTGATTATTTCCTAGGAAACATTTCAGACTCAAGGAAATCCTTTACAGAATCCAACAGCTATTTCTCCATCACGATGGGACCAGTCCTTCCTCACAAATGTTACATTCTTGAAGGTGGCTCTCTGGTTGGTCTTACTGGGACTGTTTGTAGAACTAGAGTTTGGCCTGGTTTATTTTGTTCTGTCCTTGTTTTATTGGATGTATGTCGGCACCCGTAGCCCTGGAGAAAAGAAGAAAGGAGAAAAGAGTGCTTATTCTGTGTTCAACCGTGGCTGTGAACCCATCCAGGGAACCCTGACTGCAGAACAGTTTGAGCGAGAATTACAGTTTCGCCCCCTGGCTGTGGGGTAGTCCTTGTTCTCCTGAGTTTTCTGCCACCTCAGTGTTCTTGGACTACTTAGCCCCACTCCCCGGGGCTGGGCTGGACTAAAATCAATATGTAGGTACACTGGGGGGGCAGTCCTGTGTCCATGAGTGTCAACTTTTTGTTCTCTGAACTCTGTTCTCTTATCCATCCTTCCCCTTCTCCTTTCCCATGTCTCCTGTTGTCGTACCAGTGTCTTTGTTTGCATTTCCTTCTTTAATATTTTTTTTCTGAGAGTCACTAAAATCCAGTATTGCAATTGATCTGGTGTCTTTTCCAAAAATTACATCTTCAACAAAGACTTATTCTAATATTTACACAGACCAATTTTAGAGGGACAGGGTGGGAGTTGCATTGTAAAGTATTTAACTAATTTGAAATAATGATTCATTCCTTCACATGAAGTGCTTCCTATTAAAAAATCTTATCAGTCTGACAATAAATTCACATTTTCAGCACTGTGAGAATCATAGGCTTCTTTTAAATATTTCATCCTCAAAGACAAGGTGAAAATTGTATTTTGCTTTTCTATTACTAATGGTATTGAATATCGCAGAATGTTCTAGATTGGTGGGACCTAAGGAATTGTGTAGAGACCAGTGGTTCTCAAACTTTTTGGCCTTTGGACCCCTTTTACTGTCCTAAAATGATTGGGGACCTTCCAAAGAACTTTTATTTATGTGGATTATACCTATCAATATTTACTGTGTTAGAAATTAAAATGTCTTAGTATTATCCTGAAAATAGTTTTGATCCTGTGGGCCCCCTGAAAGATTCTCATGTCACACTTTGAGAACCTCTGGTCTAGTTAACCCTTTATTTTGTAAATAGGGAAACTAAGGCCCAGAGAGGGAAAGTGATTTCTTCAGGGTCATAAAAAGAGGCCTTAACTAGATCTTCTGATTTTAAGGCCATTGTGCTTTCTGCCATGGCATACTCTATTAAATCATGGCCAAGTCACTTCCCCATCTGTGCATCAATTTTGGCACATTGTAAAAAGAAGGGAATAGTGGTCTTTTTAGTAATTACCCACCATCCCAGGTACAAGCATCCTTCACCTGTAACTATCTTTCCTCTTTCCTTCTGTTCTTCATTTGTCACTTGGGGAAAGGAGAAGAGAAGAGAGAAAAGTGCTGGTGGCATGTGGTGGGGAGGAATGGAAGCGTGTCAATATTGGTAATTTTTTATAAAGGGTTATTAAAGTGTAGCATGTATGCAGAGGGTAGCCCTGGTAGCAGCATTCCAGACTCACTGGACATATGGGCTAAGGGACTGTGATGCGGGCTTCCTGGGGTAGCCCTGGTTTACTGTAATCTTTGGAATAAACAGTCTCTTCAGCTCTTTGCCTTCATCATACCAGTAATATTTTCTTTCATGATGGAGATAGCAATATCTTCTTTCATAATGATTCCTTTTTTGCAATATTAGTTTAAATCCTGTGACAATCCAGTCTCGGTATATGGGATTCCTGCTAAGTAAAAAATTTAAAATAATTGCTTTCTCTGGGTCATATTTATAAGTAAGTGGAATCTGCCTATTTATCAGTTGTCTCTCTTTCAAATAAGGGTATTGGATTATATGGCTTTCAAATATAAGTCCTATGGCCTTAGTACAAAGTTAGAAATTTTTTCAAGTCAGGGACTCAAGAAATTAAAGATGCCTTCAATTTCTAGGTCCAGTAATTAGCTTATAATTTAATACTTTAAGGAAGCCTGATTTTAGTCATGTGGGTATTCCCACTGCAATGCAAATCGCAACTTTTTCTGTGCCCTATTACTTAATTTGAGAAGTTATGGACAAAAAAAAAAGTCATCTAGGGACCAACTCTAAATTGATAGGCCTCTTCAGACTTAGGTGGTCCTCACGCGAGACATATTCAGTTCATCATTTGGGCCTTACACATGAAACCCTTAGAGCACAGTAAGATCTGCTGTACCTTGTCTTCAGCTGGCGCAGTCTTTAAGGACCAATGGTCATTCTCATGGCACGATGAGCTATTGGAATAGGACTTCAGTAGAGGCCATTGATTCATACAGAATCTAAAAGGATTTTTATTTGAAGTGTTATTATGTAACATAGGCCAGTTGTAAATTTTTATTTTTTCATTATTATTGCTTTTTATTTACTGCAATGAAGTCTCAGCCAACTTGCTTATTAAGAAGAGCCTATTTTTCTGGTTGACTGCATTTTCTGGAGAATAACTTAACATCCCTCTTCATTGCAAACCTTGTTGAAAATTATTTGTAAGATGAATTAGACCTTTTTTTGCCTCAAAGTAGAGAATGGTGAACACAATTGAATCTCAGGTCTTAGTTTCCTCTGTTCAAATGGGGGGGTAGTCCTAGGTGTCTAAGATGTCCCTTCTAGCTTAACCTTGTGATCTTCCAAGATACCTTCTAACTAAAATAAAAGTGTCTGGTTAAGGAATAGTGCTGTAAACTAGAGATGTAAAAGATGTTTGAAATAAAGACGAATATGAACTAATTCTAGAAGTTTTATTTGTTAAAAAATATTCCTCTGTGTGTGTGTGTTTTGCCATTTTCTCTTAAAATCAGTGCAGGGAGTGGAGGCTCATATGCTGGTTGGTGATGTATTATTATACTTGAAAATAATTTTACTTGCATTTTTAAAAACACATAGGATCGTAGATAGTTACTGTCTCATCATTTTACAGATGCAGAAACTGTGGTCCAGGGAGGTCGTAACTGAAAATTACGCAGCTAGAGTCAGAGATAGGACGTGAGCCGGATCCTCTGACATCACAGCTAGGGCTTATTTCACTAGGATGTTCTGTCTCTGAAATTATTGAATTCAGATTTTTCTCTAAATCCTATTTAGTCTGGGTGAGTTTTGACTGTATTTTAATAGCTCCAATAATCCTTCTAAAAAGTGTAGCGTGTAGTATCTTGCAGATTGTGCCACAGTAGTGTTTCCTCCACCTCCCCACCACCCCCCCCCCAGCCAAATGAGGCCATTCTTAACTGGGTAGATTCTAGCCTAACTTTCTGAGATTTTGTGAAAATGACTCCTTGCTTGTCCCTGCTCACCTCTTCCCAGAGGTTGTATTTGTGATGATGCTATTAACTGCCAGGGAAGTTTAGGCGTGAACAAACTAAATGCCTGGCAGCGGGGAATGAAAAGGACAGTACGTATTTTCTTTTCTTACCAGACCATTAAACTTTAGTGAAGTCTTGATTACTTGAATTTGCAAGGACCTACTGGATCCCAGGAATTTCCACTTAAGGCTTGATCATTAGGACAATGAGTCTGGAAAGCAGCTTCCATTAATGTCCTTTATCTGCTGTCTTCAGGGAAAGCTTAAAGATTCCCACTCTTGCTCAGCTTCAGGGAGCTTGACACTTTTCACATTAAAGCATGGAGGCAGGAGCTAAAAAAAAAAAACACAAAACAAAACACCCTCCTAACAGTTCTCCTATGACATTCCTTCCTTTTCTTCTGCACAGTTCATGACCACCATCTCTCCTACTTACAATGCCCCTCCTTAGGCTTCCCTAATTGAGTTTCAACATTTTAGTTTCTAGGTTCTACAGGCATTGGTCTCCATTCAGACGTGACACTGCCTAGTGTGATAGATGTGGTCAATTTGGCAGGTGTATGTATGAGTAAGGAAACATCTGCCTGAGCCTTCCAAGTACTAACCTACTTTTCTCCATGTTGTTACATGTTGCCTGTTAAGCCCCTCCTTAGAACGGGAGTGCATAGGCTGGAAGCTCCTCCTGGAGGCGGCCTCCTGACTCATTCCCCCCTCCTGCTATGTGACAGGACCAAATTTAAGCTCCCCTAGATTACAGACAAATCATCTGATTTTTAGTGATCTCTAGAGAAGATTTCCATGTCTTCCCTCAGTTGTCAGGTACAGGTTTTAGTGACAACCTTCACACAAGCTCTTCATGTCTAACTCAACCCCCCCTAACTCAAACAAGCATCAGCTTGTTTCCTCTAGTTCCAATCACAGTGGAGAATGGCCATTGTACTCTATGAGAGTCCTTCATAACTGGAAATCATTATTAACCACCCCCACCTGAGCCCTTATTTTTCAGGCTTAATGATCCTGATTCCATTAACCTTCCCTTGTAGGTTTGGGTTTACAGATTAGATCAGAGAACAGTGATTGACTTTTGGGGTTTCCTTCCCCAGCTGTACCTGCTTCCTAGGAACCGCTGCCAGAGGTGAGGGGATTTGGGATCTGGCTTGGGTTGGTTATGAGGATGGATGAGGAAGGCCCCCATCAGTGGCAATCAATACAAATAATTCCTCTTCTGTTTTTGGTACCCCCAGCTCTAAGAGGGTTTACGCTTATAATACAGATAGAATAAAGCAAATACTTGCTAAAGTAATCATTGTATACAGAGCACACTGAACTTTGGTTTGTATGTTGAGATATTGCACACAGGAAGTGTTCAATAAATGCCTATTGATTGATCATTTTGTTGAAAGAGTATTCTCTTAGCTATAGGAAAATGTCTAATTGGCAAACTACAAGAAATGGCTCAGGTGGCAGGGGTGTAGGATACAATTATGTGTGCCTTTCCACTCCTGAAGGCCTAGCCGTCCCTGGAGAAGCAGCAAGAAAAAGGCAGTGTATCACAACTTCTTCCCAATAGAACACAAGGACACACACATACTGGGGGGAGGGTGGCAAAAGAAACATAAGGCACAGTGCCTGCTTTTAGCAAGCTCAAATCTATCAGAGGATAGAAGACCCAGACAGTACACTCCATTCTCCAACTATGGAGTAAGCCTGCTATCATGGAAAGAATGCTAAATGTGGAGTCTGAGGACCTGGTCCTGCTACCTACTATTTTCTACTTGTTTAACCTTGGATATATCATTTTGCTTTTGTGGGCTTCAGTTTCCCCATTTATAAAATGAAGGAGTTGGATTAAATGATCTACAAGGTCCTTTCCATCTCTTAACATTGTAGGAGTCTGAGTGTAGGTCCGTGAAATCAAAAGGGTGGACACGTTCAAGGGAGGGTGCTATGGAGCAGAATGCCACCAGGGGGCAGCACGGAATACTTGAGTTTCCCCATAGAATACTGCTTTCAGCTCCACAGATCTTTGTTTAAATATCATAATACAGATCACTTATATCCAAATTAATTAATTTGAAACCCATTGAGTCTTTGGCTGAGCCAACTGACGCTTGAAGGCTTTCGTTCTTTCCAAGGGTCTCAAAGAAAAAGCATAGGATTGGTTTCTGGTAAAATTTAACTCAAACGTTTATGAAGAGTTTACTATGTGGCATTGCCTATGATGGGGTTTCAAAGGTAAAGTAAAATACAATCCCCAATGAGTTTACAATACATAGCAGGGAATTAAAACATGTATACAAATGACTGTAACACATCAATAAATATTTGTTGAATTGAATGGACACATCTCTTTGCCAGACCTTCTTTGGTCCTGGTTCCAACCTCTGTTGCTGCTTATCTCTCCAACCTTGTTCCCTTAGCCTGAGTTCCCTGCACAGGTGTTCCCCGTAATGCCTGATCAAGCTGTGAGTCAGAACAGGTCCCCATGTATTGCACAGAATTCTGACATGATTCTTCTAAGTTGATGTGTTCTTTAGGGAAGCAAGGTTTTAGATAGATGTTGGAATGGTCTGGTGAGATCAGGGAGAGATGAGTGAGGTGGTAGCATAATGGATTAAAACATAGGAGGCAGGGAGAAAAAAACAATGGCAAATAAAGATCGCAATGACCCTGGCTTTAATCATTGAAAATAGTATTGTTTTTCATAAAGTTTTAGCTGGAATGGACCTTAGAGATTAGTCTAGTCCTTTCATATTATAGATGGGGAAGGAATGTGACTTCTTGACCAAACCTGGCAGTGTCACATCTGAATGGAGCCCAATACCTGTAGAATGTAGGAACTAAAATGTTGAAACTCAATTAGAGAAGCCTAAGGAGGGACATTGTAAGTAGGAATGATGGTGGTCATGAACTGTGCAGAAGAAAAGGAAGGAATGTCCATAGGAGAACTGTTAGGAGGGTGTTTTATTTTTTGTCTTTTTTTTTTAGCTCCTGCCTCCATGCTTTAATGTGAAAAGTGTCAAGCTCCCTGAAGCTGACGAAGAGTGGGAAGCATGTGCATGAGAAAAGTGAGCAGCTGGGTTTGTCACTGACAGATCCGTTTACTGCAAATACAGAAGAAAAAAAAAGAAACATTGAAAGCTTTAGAGCAAGCAGAAATTGGCTTTGAAGATCACACAGTTTCCAGGGAGGTAAGAACTAAAGCTGATTTGAGTTGAGAAAGCCCACACCGCATTGTAGTGGAAAGAGTCCTAGAACTGAGTCAGAGCAACCGAGTTTGAATGCTGACCCTGCTTATTACCAACTGTGTTACTTGGCTTCTGTTTCTTCCTTTGTAAAATTTGGGAGTTGGAGTAAATGATTCCCTTATGGTTCTACATCCTGTGATCTACCTCCAGCTCTTAGAGGAAAGCAGTTTTCAACCTGGATTCTACTGGGGACAGCCAAATGGTTTGGTGGTTAGAGAGTTTTCTTTTAATGATTATTATAAAGAATATTCCTAAGGCCATCGGCACTAGAGGTAAAACAGAGAGAGAAGGACCCAGCCTCTCTATAGTGAGTTATTAGCCAGTCAAAAGAAACATCGCAAGACCCCTGAGATTGTGCATGCAAAAAAACTTATGTTTGCGAAGCTTTTGATAGATACTGAATCACTCATTCATTCAGCAAGCACTTAGTAACTACCTACTGTGTACAAGACACTGTCCTAGGCCCAAAGATAAGAATGAAACATCCCTTTAAGAAGATTACATTCTACTGGGAGAAACATGTATACAAAGAAGTCAATCCAAAGTAAATATGAAGTCCTTTCAGTGGCAGGGATGGGGAAAAGGAATTAGTAAAGACCTCATGTCAGAGCTCGTATTAAAACTCAGTCTTGAGAAGATCCAGGGATTCTGGGAGATGGAGATGAGGATGGAGTATGTTCCAGTCATCCAGGATAACCTGGACAGAGGCAGAGATGGAGGAGATGAAAGGCATGTTAGTCCTGTTTGGTTGGAAGGTAAAGTTTATGAAGGGGGAAGTAATATGCAATTAGATTAAAAAGATAAATTAGGGCTAGACTGTAAAGAGCTTTCTACGCCATACAGGCCAGTTTATAGTTTATTCTCAAGGTAATAGGGAGTCACTGAACATTCTTGCTCAGGATTGACAGGGTCAGATCTGTGGTTAGGAATGTCAGTTTGGAAGCTAGCCATATGGCAGATGGATTGAAGAAGAGAGCGATTGGAGGCAGGGAGACCAGATGAGAGGTAATGAGGCCTGAATTTGAGTTGTGGCCATTTGAGTGTGTAAAGAAGAGGATAAATATGAGACACTGGGAATGGGGGAGGGAGGGAGAGAATGAACATGTTTATGGCACCTACTCTGCACCAGGCGCTGGGCCAAGTATTTTATAAATATTATCTCATTTGATCCTCACAACCACCCTATGAGGTAGGAGCTGTTACTGTTCTCATTTTGCAGTTGAAGAAATGGAGGCCAGCAGACATTAAGTGGCTTGCTTGTTCAGGGTTACACAGCTAATCAGTGTCTGAGGCCTGGTTTGTGCTCAGGTCTTCCTGACTCCAGGTCCAGAGCTCTACCTGTTGTCCTACTAAGCTGCCTCTAGCTGCCATTGGGGAGGTAGAACTGATAAAACCTGATAGCTGACTACACGTGGAGGTTGAAGGAGAAATGCGGCATTGAGCATGACTCTCAGATTTTAAACTTGGGTGACTGGAAGGATGGAGGGACCCTCAGCAGAAATGGGAATTTAGGGAGAAGGATGAGTTTAAAGTGGTGCAACGTAAAGACGCTGGCCCTGTGGTCAGAATTTCTGGGTTCAGGTACCTACCACCTGCTGTGTTTCATATCCCCGTATTCTTAGGCTTGTTACTTAGTCTTCCTGGGCCTCAGTTTCTGAGGGTGTTTGGCGAGATGGCCCCTGGGGTCCCTTCCAGATCTGAGTTCCATTTTGGACATGTGGAATTTTAGATGCTTATGTGACATCCAGTTTTGAGGTGTCCATTAGTCATTTGGACTAGAGCTCAGGAGAGAGACTAAGGGTGAATATGTCAGTGATGATGGTAGTGGGGGGTGGTGAGAGTGATGATAGCTACTAGTTGTATACCACTGTTAGGTCTATATCCCAAAGACATCCAAAAGAGGGGGGGGGACCTATTTGTACAAAAATATTTAGAGTAGCTCTTTTTGTGGTGGCTAAGAATTAGAAATTGAGGACATGCCCATCAATTGGGGAATGGCTAAACAAGCTATGGTATATGAGTGCAGTGGAATATGATTGTGCTGTAAGAGACGAAAAGCACGATGATTTCAGAAAAACCTGGTAAGACTTACATGAACTGATGCAAAGTGAAGTGAGCAGACCCAGGAGAACATTGTACACAGTAACAGCAACACTGTGCCATGAAGAACTGTGAATGACTTGGCAATTCTCAGCTATACAATAATCCACGACAACCCCAGAGGACTGAATGGATGAAGGATGAAGCGTGCTATCTACCTCCAGAGAAAGAACTGATATTGTATGCATACAGACGGAAGCATGTTATTTTTCGCTTTCTTTCTTTCATTCTTTTTCTCTTATTTGAGTCTTCTTGTATAAAATTACTGATATGGAAATGTTTTACATGACTGCACATGTATAACCTATATCTGATTGCTTACCATCTCAGGGAGCAGGGAGGGAAAGAAGGAAGGGAGGGATAGAATTTGGAACTCAAAACTTTTAAAAAATGTTAAAAATTGTTTTAACATGTAATTGGGGTGGGGGGAAATTACATATATAGATAGATAGATAGATATAGATATACGCACACACACACACACACACACACACACACACACACACACACATATGTATGTACTTAAAAGATTTACAAAGTCATTTATATATAGGAGATGTACCAAAAGTCTTAGTGCAGGTTTAAGCTTTACTATCATAAAAAGCTAACAACTTTAATCTATTAAAGCTTAAAACTTCACTAAGACTTTTGGGGCAAACCTTTATTATCTCATTTGGTCCTTACAATAGCACTGTAAGGTAAGTTCAATTATGATCCCCACTTTATAACTGAGGAAATTGAGGTTTTAAGCGATTAAGTGACTTGCCTAGGGTCACACAGCTAGTAAATGTCTGAGACAGGATTTCAATCCAAGTCTTCTTGACTCCAAATCCAATGATTTCTCCGCTGTGCTGCCTTGCTGCGTAAACTTAGGGGTTATCTACATATAGATGGTAATTGAGCCTATGGAAGCTGATGGGATTATGAAGAGAAAGAGTATAGGGAAAAACCAAGAGGCCCAAGACAGATTCTTAGGGACATCCATGGTTAGGAACTGGGGTATGGATTGATGATCCAGTAAAAGAGGCTAATAAAAAAAGATTGGCCAGACGGGTAGGAGGAGGACCAGAAGGGAGTAGTATAATGAAAATCCAGGGTGGAGAGAGTCTCTAAGAGGAGAAGGAGTTCAACAGCATCAAACACTACAGAGAAGTAAAAAAAGGATGAGGAACGAGAAGAGGCCAGTGACTGTAGTGTTAATTGTCCCACTTGGTCCTCAGAACAGTAGTGGGGAGAAATATATAGCTAGCATTTATGTAGAGCTTTAAGGTTTGCAAAGTGCTTTACAAATATCATCTCACTTAATCCTCACAGTAGTCCTGGAGGGAGGGGATAGATGCTATTATTCCCATTTTATAGATGAGGAAACTGAGGAAGACAGGGTCACATAGTAAGTGTCAGAGACTGAATTTAAACTCAGGCCCTCCTGACTTCTAGTGCTCCTTCTACCATCCACCTGGCTACCTCAGTAGTAAAGTTGTCATCATGCCCTTTTTATACAGTGGAAACTGAAGTTCACAGAGATTGGCATCAGCTAATCTGTTCCGTGTGATGCATGGAAATTCAGTTCAACAAATATTTTTAGGCATCTACTGTCTGCAAGGTATTGTGTTTTATGGGCATCCATTTAGTGAACAATTTCCTAAGCTTATTACATAACATTTATATTAAGGAATGCACTGTAGTAGATCTTATCTTTGTAATTGAAACGGATGTCTTCAGTTCTCTGGGGTGCTCACATCTCCATGCTATGGGAGGAGCTGGAGGGGAAACAGAAACGGACCTAGTTTCTCTGAAGTGATTTTAACCAGTGCTATGATCGATGTTCAGGAACACACAAATAATTCTATTATACAGAATATATATTTGAACAATATTTTGTCTATGGTATTTTACCTGTGTAATGGGGGATAATTGGGGAACCCCACCCCTATTTGCTAGACTGGAGTACTTATCATGAAGCTGAGCCTGTGCAATGTTTGGGCCACTTCTGGTAATATATGCACCCTGTCCCTTGGCTAAATAAAAGGAATGTGCAACCAGAGGCTCCTGGTTGGTTCCTGTGACAGGATGAGTTAGAGAGCTACGTTGGAAAGAATGAGTAACTGAATCAGGAAGAGCCACTCACTAAGGCCCGAGTCACTGTCCTCTCCTCTTCCCTTCTTGAGACTCTCTTGGACTTCTAATGAGGGATAGGGGAAGGGATGTCCTTTCCCATAAGAGGCCCTGGAAAACTGGGTTCAGTCCTGGGGAGAGCCTAATTCCAAAGAAAGGATCAAGCTTTTTCTGAGATGTATAGCTGTATATAAAGATTTACGAAGTCTTTCATATATAGATGTCCTAAAAGTCTTGGCGCAGTTTTAAGCTTTAGTATCATAGAGATATTAGCTAACAGCTTTAATCTTTTAACAGATTAATAGCTCTATATTTTCTTGCACTGTGGCTCCTCCCCACCCCTATCCCTACCCCCAAATACACACTTTAAATTATTGTAGGAAAACCTCTCTAAACAAAGGTTAGTTTGGCTTATGTCTACACAGTCTCTTTAAGAGTATTTGACAAGGGGCAGCTAGGTGTCACAGTGGATAAAGCTGTGGCCTTGGAGTCAGGAGCACTTGCGTTCAAATCTGGTCTTAGACACTTGATACCTACTAGCTGTGTGACCTTGGGCAAGTCACTTAAACCTGATTGTCTCACCTCAAAAAAAAAAAGTATTTACAGAGTTCATACCAGAAAGTTAGTGTACAAAATGGTAATAATAATAACTATCATTTATATAGTACTTTAAGGTTCATAAAGGATTTGACAGATACCTCATTTTATCATCACAATAATCTCCGAAGGTAGGTGTTATTATTATCCCCATTTTACAGCTGAGGAAACTGAGGTAGACAGAAGTTAAGGCCCACACCACTAGTAAGTATGTGAAATTGGATTTGAACTCAGATCTTTCTGAGTTCTAGGCCTAGTGCTCTGTTCTCTGCACCACCTAGCCAGATATCAGGTATAGACCAGTTCATTATTTACTCCACAAATCTAAGGCTCATAAACACACATTGACACATATTTAAAACATAAAACTAACTCGTAACAAAGACCCACAGTAGCTCATAAGCAGATAATCGAAACTATATGAGACACTCAAAAGGATTCAGAAAAGCTCTCCATCTCTGTTATGCTCTCCCAGGAAGTAAAGACAAAGATTCCTAGACTTCTTAGGGAACTGCTGAACAGATTTCACTCCCCAGCCTTCACTGCCTGAATAGTAACTCACTGGAGATCCATGTCTTCTGGTCAGCTAGGTATGCATGGCTTATCCTTCTGGTGATGGTCATCTTCTTTAGAAAGGGCTTATCTTTAGGAAGTCTGCCTCCCTCTCCTTAACTCTAAACTGGAGATAATAATAGCACCTGCCTCCCAGGGGTGTTCTGAGGATCAAAGGACATATTCATAAAGGCTTTGGAGCGGTGTCTGGCACAGAGGAGGCACTTAATATGATGCATGTCCCCTTCTGCTACTCTCTACTCTGCCGTGGTCAACAAGCACCTGGACCATTGAGAACAGACTTTTGAAATTCACAAGGTGTTGGAACACTAATGCATTGTTGGTGGAGTTGTGAAATGATCCAGCCATTTTGGAGAACAATTTGGAACTATGCCCAAAGGGCTATCAAAATGTGCATACCCTTTGACCCAGCAATAGCACTTCTAGGGCTGTATCCCAAAGAGATCATACAAATGGGAAAAGGACCCACGTGTACAAAAATATTCATAGCAGCTCTTTTTGTGGTGGCAAAGAATTGGAAATTGAGAGGATGCCCATCAATTAGGAAATGGCTGAGCAAGTTGTGGTATATGAATGTAATGGAATATTGTTGTGCTATAAGAAATGATGAACAGGCCAACTTCAGAAAAACCTGGAAAGACTCATATGGTCTGATGCTGAGTGAAGTGAGCAGAACCAAGAGAACGTTGTACACAATAATAGCCACATAAAAAGTGAAGGGCCTGGCCGGAGAAAAGGCGGAGAAATCATCCCACAGTCAGGACACCAAGGTCTTTGGGAAGCCAGGCAGCCTCCTTATGAGAGGTCTCTGAATCGTATTCCGTGGCACAAAACTATGGAGAGGTAAGATAAAGTTTTATCATGAGGCAAAATCTAGGTGAACTCTCAGATAAGGAACAGAATGTTAGAGTAATATATAAAGTGATTGAGGAACAGGGGTGCTCGGTAACTCCTAAGAAAAGAAGAGAGTCTCTAATATGATTGATATAAAATCTCCATGGCACCCCAGAGAAGGGAACTTAAATTTAGAACAATGGAAAATAGTGGGAGAACAATTGACAGAATTTTATAACACCAAAGGCCCAAAATCAGTTCCTCTGGGTACTTTCACTATCTATAATCTTATAAAAATGGGCTTGTAGGAGCTGTGAGAACAAAGGAAGCTCCCGCCATGTGCCATGAGGAATTTCAAAAATCCCCAAGGGGAAGTAGAAAAGAAACGTGTAGTCACAGCACTATATTGTGGACATTGTGGAGCATTACAAAGTGAAAAGGTTTCCTTTTATAAAAACCAAAACCTTAAGAAAGATTTTGCCTGGTTTTAGAATACCATGGAAAGAAAAGATTAAAAAAATATATATAAAAATAGTATTATTTCGTTTGTGTAGGAATTTCTGACAAGTTTCTCGCTTTTGGATTCTCCCTGTCATTTTGTTCTATGTTTGTCTGTGTCTGTGTGAATGATGGTCTGTGATTAATGTCTGTGATTTGTTTAGTCTTTTACTGCCAGGCAGCCAAGTGGTGGTGGTCTTTTTTCTTTTGTTTTAACCCAGTCACCATAAGACTGGGGAGTGAATTATTTTTGTTGATAACGGGCAGGTAGCAAAGTGTTTATTGCAGTAAGGAGAGAGAAAAGGATGTTACTTAGGACTGTTAGATTATCTAAATTCAGATTGTGTTATTGTAAGTCAATTAAATGCATAGACTCAAAAAAAACCCCCAATAATAGCCACATTGTACAATGACTAATATTGATCAACTTAACCCTTCTCAGCAATGCAAGGATCTAAGACATCTCCAGAGGCCTCATGATGGAAAATGCTTGTCCACATCCAAAGAAAGAACTCTGGAAGTTGAATTGCTATCTTTATTTTCTCTTCTGTTGACTTTTGTTTCCTCTTTCTGATGGTTCCTCCTATTGGTTTTAATTTTTACTTACAACATCACTAATGTGAAAATATGTTTAATAGGAATGTATATGTATAGCCTATATCAGATTGTGCACCATCTTGGGAAGGGTGGTGGGGAAGAAGTGGGAGAAAAATTTTAAACTCAAAAGCATATGGAAGTGATTGTTGATAAATCAAAATAATAAAATTTAAAAAAAAAAGAAATTCACAAGGTAGCTGTCAAGGCTGGAAGCATTTATCTTAGGATTACCACTGAGTCAACTGCACTCAAAGGAGGAAACTTGAAACAGAAAAGGCAGCCAGGGGCTTAAACACCAATCTGAGGGTCATTTAGACAAGCACATGCACTTGCCATAGCTGCTTCTAGAAAAGAGAAGAAGAGAGAGATTCCCCCTCTCTAACCCTCCCCTCCTCCAAACCCAAAGGAGAAAGACAGAACTGACATGGGCTATGTCCTACAAAGTACCTTGACTTGGCTTGGTCACTAATCCTCTTAGGCACAGTATTTACTCCATAACACTCCCCCCCCCTCAATTTTTAAACACTAACATTGAAAACATTAAGGAAAAAAACAAATATGCAACCATTGTTACCAAAATCCACCTCCATTTGTTATGTTCAAAAAAATCCCTCCCAAAAGAGAAATTTCTGCCAAGAATTATGTTCATTCCCCAGAAGCAGAGTGAATGATCAGTGACTTAGTGAAAATCTGATTCCACCCTGAGGTGGTAGGTAGGGCTAGGGGTAAGGAAGGAAAGCCCATTCATTTGTCCATATCAGCCCCAGTCAGCCTGAGAATGAGTTCCAGTACCCAACATGAAACAAAAGTTAGATTTTAGAAGTATCTCATACTCAGTGGGGTATAGCTTCACTTCAGGAGTCCAAGGAAATGTGCATAAATAAACCATTGGTAATTCATCTGAACAAATCACTGGGCACATAGAATTCTGATGTACAATCTAAGTGTTCTCCATCTAACATTATGAAGAAGCTTTCACCATCCATCCTATGGACTAGGCTGTAGTCACCTGGTAGGTGTCTCCTAACCACGGTCTTGGAAGATTGAAGAGATTTTGCTTTTCTCCAATGGTGAACTGGCACAGAGTACGTGCAAATGAGCAGGAGAGCTCAGGTAGACCTGTGCTGCCAGAATGATTGAAAAAGGGACACCACTTTAAAAGCAAACAGATCGGGAAGGGGTTGGGAACAATTGCCTGAGTGCCATTTGTTAGATCTTGTGCAGTTAGAGGTTACGATTGGTGCACCTTTCACGTGTCAGCTTATTCGGGACTTGGGGGTTCTTCTCTGTCATTTCTTTGGAAGATTTTATACCTTTTGCCAATCAATTTCTGGAATGGAGTCTTTTTGTAAATGTCTTAGTTGTTTGACCCTGAAAGCATTTGTTTTGATTGGAAAAAACTAGATTTACTATGATACATTTCTTAAAATAAATTTCATGTCATAATCTAGGTAAGGATAGTGGACCTTTAATAAATGTTTGTTGAAGTTGGATCAAATCTGTTTCTGTCCTTTTGTCTTTTAATCTACATGGCACCTCCTGAGTGATTGTTATTTTTTATTTTCCAGACCCTCAAGTTGGTCTCTTTTGACATCTTTTGCCATGGTATGCAATGCCCCTTAAATGTTCTTTTTTCACCCTCTCAACCCACTTTTAAAAATTAAAAAAAAAATGAGAGGAAAATTTCATTGTATCATGGTGTTTGATTTGTACGTTTCATTAAAATGTGAAATTTATTGTCCTAAGAATTCTGAAAATGTAGAGGCTTTCTGAGGAGTAAAATAGATATACGTTAAAATTGCCAATCTCTTGATGCAGAAATTTTGTATAGAAAACTACAAATTGTTGAGAATCAGCATAACATAAAAAGAGAAAAATAATAAAACATAAATCAGCATAAAATGCTCTCTCTCTCTCTCTCTCTCTCTCTCTCTCTCTCTCTCTCTCTCTCTCTCTCTCTCTCTCTCTCTCTCTCTCTCTCTCTCTCTCTCTCTCTCCCTCTCCCTCTCCCTCTCCCTCTGTTTATAAGCCTCAGTTGTTATATCTACTCCCACTAGTGATCTTTACACTAGAAATACTCCTAACCCTTTTACCCTTTTATTTGCTATTTCAGGTTCCTGCCCTGTGAGACCTAGAAAGCCGATGAGTTTTTCCTGACCACTGCCCTCTGTGGGCCTTGTCAGCTTGTACCAATCCCTGAGGCACTTACTCAGCCTTTTGGCACAAGTCAGAACTACATTTGTAATTGCCTATTGATTTTATTCTTGGAGTTTGTAACAGAAGAATCGGAGTGTATCCAAAGCAGCACCAGGTGGGGCAGAGGACGTTGGCTCCCACACTTGCGGACACGCCATTTCAAAAGGGCAGGCGGTTGATGATCTCTTGGCTGCTTCAGAGGTTGTCCTTTTTTCTTTCTGAAGTCACTGGGCTAGCCTCCAAACCAAAGGTGGCCTGTAGTAGTTTGGGATTCAATAATTTCACCAGGATAGAGTGTTATATGTGCTGGGTGGTGTTAGCAGCGTTTAAAGACCTATGTTTGAAATCTGGCATCTTTATTATTCTTGGTAGCATACTACATGTATGTTCCATTTCTTCTCCCTCTGTTCTTTTATTTTCTTTCTCCCTTTTTTCCATATCTATGTCTTTGTCCCCTCCTCCCCCCACCCCCCAGTCTCCTTTCTTGCTGTCTTCTGGACTCTTCCTTGTTTTTCTCTACTTCTCCCTTCCTTTCTACCTACCTACTGCCTTTCTGGGTTACCCACTTTTCTTCTTACTCCTTTCTCCTCTGCCATTCTCTTTCTCATGTTTCTCCTACCCCCTTTCCTCCCCCTAACCATTGGGCCATATTCAACCTTACCTACTAACTCTAGCTTGCTCTGGAGTTCTATTTTCCCCTCACTACAGCTTCCCATGGTTATATCCTATCTCCCCACTCCTATCCTCAAGTTTATTCTTGCTTCTTTTTACATTGTGTGTGCTTTCTGTTCTGATGGTATTGGCTTACAAAGGTGAGAAAATATGAGTTTGTTTCATAATCTACCCAATGCCAAACTGGTTGGTGATCACCTTAGTAAAAGTTGTCTTGATTATCTCTTTCTTTGGTTGGGGATAGAGCTGCCAAACATCCTGGTGTCACTTACAATTGCCTTTGGAACGTGTTTTTATACTTGGGATAAAAACATGAAGATGACTTTTGAGGCCTCTTACAGCTCTAGATGAATATGATTTATCTAGCTGGAAGCAAGCCTCGTTACCAATTATAGAACAGGTTTACAGCTAGAAGGGGCCTGAGAAGGCCAAGTTGAATCTTCCATTTTACAGATGGGGAAATCAAGGCATAAAGAGAGATGCCATTACTTGCCCACATTAACTTACCTAAGATATTTACAAAAAGACTCCATTTCAGAAATTGATTGGCAAAAGGAATATCTTCCAAAGAGACAACAGAGAGGAGCCAGCAAGTCCCAAACAAGGAGATGCATAGAAGGTGCACCATCATAAGCTCTAGGTGCCCCAAATCTAACAAATGATAGTGACAGATTAAAAATGTGAACCCAGGTCCTCTGACTCCCAATCCCATTACTTTGTGGATACCCCCACTTATGTCCATCTAGGCTCAGGTTGCTAGCTTTGTCCACTTCCCCTATGTTCTCTTTGATGTCTTGTTTCTCAGATGCTACTGTGCCATCTAGTCTAATCTCATTCTCCAGAGGAAGAAACTGAGATCCAGAGAGTTGTGCAGGGGCATACAGGTAGAAAGTGACAGAGGCAGAATTTGACCTCAGGATCTTTGGCTCTTAAGTTCAGTGTGTCTTCTGTTATACCATATTGCCTCTAATACAGGGTGTCCCAAAAGTCTTAGTGCGGTTTTAAGCTTTAATATCACAGCTTGTCTGAATTAGATATGTTTAAGGGGCTCTTCTTGGAGAAGGAAATGACAAACCACTAGTATCTTTGCTCAAAAAACCCCCATGGACAATATGGTCCACGAGGTCACAAAGAGTTAGACATAACTGAACAACAACAAAGGGGCTCTTTATTCTGCTAACTAAGTTGACCTTCAGAAGAGCCAAGGATAACAGTAAGTTGGTAGTGAAATGAGTGGTTTACCATAAATTCTACTTCTATAAGAAAATGTGAGCAAGTCACAAATTCCAAGAGTGGGTGATTATTTAAATCGAAAAAAAAAAGTTCATCTTTCAGAAGATGGATTTCAAAACATGAACTCAATTCAAATACTATGACTAATTTACAAACAAGTCTTTTGCTTTTATGTCATTTTTTAAAAAGCCAAATTTAATGGACTGAGTTCATTTGGACAGAAGAAAATCAAATGCATCAGTGGAATTAGAATACACGTCCATTTGGCTGTCAGTCATTGTTTAAACCACTCGACCACCCAACATCTCTAATTAAATGACATTACAGTCACTGTATAAAGGCCCAGCAGTGGATAAATTAGTACTTGTTAAGTGCTCTGAAGATGAAAAGCATTATATGAGTAATGAGCAGGGTTTTTTTTTTCTTTCTTGGGATGAAAACCACATCTTTTGTATTTTCTCACTGTACCATGAGTCACCTAAGTTGACATCACAGAAAAACTCCTCTCATAGAGAAAAAAAAATTAGTCACGTTAATGACAGGCTTTTATTTGTCTTGCCAGGTCAAATAAGAATAGGTACACATCCATTAATATATGTACAAGAAATTCATACACTATATACAAATGCAGTCTAGAGATGCTGGTCTTATTTGGATATGGCATTACACATCAAGTCACACAAAAACTACACTGTTTAAGCATTCATGAAGAATAATTATCCCCCATAGCAGCAATGATATAAACAGATTAGTCTCCTGTACACCTAGTCTTCTGTTCCATTTAAAGACTAGCACCTGATCCTCTGGAAACCCACCGGAACCCCCTTGAGTGCTCAAGCTAGTGAGGTGCAAGAACCACATATGTGTAAACTTCATTGTGGTTTGCCCTTCGGGGATGTGATTCAAGGTGGGGAGGTGCTGGGAACTGGGAAAAACTGCAGGTTGGCAAGGAAAACATCAGCCAAATGAAGAAATCAATACAAGGGGAGAGTAAAAATGAAAACGAAGGCAGATGTCTAGGCTTGCCTCATTGTCTTTACAAGTTGCCCATTTGGCAAAATTATACACTAGCTTTGAGACATTGCTCTAGATTTCCTGTGTGACTCCTTCCCTTGTACCTTCTTGACTCCCCACCCCCAAAACTCCTTGGCCACCCAAGAGCAAAGACTTCATATGTGAAGGAAAGCAGTGGCTTGTCTTTGGTTTCCAACATGAATGGTCAAGTTCTCTGCTCACTGCATGCAAACATTCTTCCTCATTTTTTTGCTTTCCTTGGATTGCTTTGCTACAATGATAATTAGTCATGCTAGATTGTACAATTTTACTAATTATAGATATTCTGACAAGCTTAACTGAAAAGGTTGAGTAACCTCCATGTAAGCTTAGGATATAACAGTTGCCTCAGATGTCCTTTGTGGCATCATGGCTTTTCATGCGTATCACCAGTTTCAACCCTAGCATTTGCTCATTCTCAGCTCTCCCCTACCCCCTTCATTAGGTCCCAGTTGGAGATATGTCTTACAGAAGTGGTGCCAAACTCAAATAGAAACTGGGCCACTCAACTGTAATAAGGATCCCTGAAGGCTGTATGTTGACTTAGAAAGCCACCTATTAATATTATCTATATTCTATTTTCTTTTTCTTTATTTTGCAATGCTTCCCAATTACATTTTACTTTGGTTCAGGGCTGCACTGTGGAGTATTACAGGTTGCATGCTGCCAGCAGGCTGCATGTTTGACACCTGTCTCCCAGCAAATATAGCAAGATCACCTTTCAGAGGAGACAGCTCATGCAATAGCATTGAGGGGACATTAGAGAAACCAGTTATCTTTAAGTTCTAGAAATAAAAACACACTATTTGGTGAATGAGACCCAACTAAATAATAAGTGAATTGGACAGAAGTAAGTATAGGGGCAGCTAGGTGGCAGAGTGGAGAGAGTACTGGGCCTGGAGTCAGGAAGATCAGATCCTTACTAGCTGTGTGACCCTGGGCAAGTCACTTCACCCTGTTTGCCTCAGTTTCCTCATCCGTAAAATGAACTAGAGAAGAGAATGGCAAACCCCTCCAGGATCTTTGTCAAGAAGACCCCAAATGGGACAACAAAGACTCAGACACAACTGAGAACGACTGAAGAACAAAGCCAACAAGTATCAGGCCAGCCCCACACAGACAAGTGCAAACAAACAACAGAACACATTACTAGGATCAGCTGAGATCTAGGGAAAGTCCAGCAGACCTTTTGTATCATTCAGCTTGGCTATGTCCTGCCCATCTGGACTCATTGGCAGGACAGAAATAATTACAGATACAGTAGAATCACCCTGATTGCCAAAGCTTCCCCACTGCTCCCATCCACCAAAGAGAAAGTTGGTCTATCTGGAATTAAAGGAAGTTGTCATAATAGAATGAGCGGGAACATTTTATTTGAGGATTTTTATAGTTTGCTTCATAAGAGCCAAAAGCAGGGGCAGTGTTGTAGATTAGAATCAATTTAGAGAAGGAAAAACAAGCCCTTGAAATATATTTTCCCTTCCCTGGGCACGTAGCAGGCATTAGTGGTAATGGGAGTCCTGTCTGTGCATGGAGAGGACCCATATAATGTTCAGGTTCTGAAACAACTCTTTGCCCTCAGTTATACAGTCTCATGACCTTCGCAGTAGGTGAGGTGGCTCTGGATTCATCTTTCAGAATGCTGATCTGACTCTCTGAGTCCATGAAATGAAGCTTTTGGACACTGAGGAAAGAAGCTTAGGGAAGGGGATGAGACCTCTCATCTCTGTAAGTTGCTATCCTAGGAACTCAGAATGCTAGATCTTGAAGGAACTCTAAGGTTCCAACCTTGACTAACTGATCTAATTACACTTTAATAGATGGGGAAATTGAGGCTCAGGGTCATATAGCTAGTACATGGTAGCATTAGAAATAGAACCTAAATCTTCTTATTCTCAGTCAAAGGCTCTCTTTACTCTACCACACTGCTACTAATATTTATAAGGGTCTTGAAGGGCCAGATGGGGACTGATTTCTTCCTCCTTGCTCTTTCCATGTTTGTCTCCAGCTCTCAGGCTTGTTGGCTTCACTTCAACTCCAGGGAGGACCAGAGAGGCAAATAATAAAGGCAACAAGGACATGGGACACAAAGAAGTTTCTTTTATGTATATTTTCCATATGGATAGCAATGTTTCCCTAGAGTAGCCCAGACACATCAGAAAAATAAAAAGTCAGTCCAATGAGAAAGCACTGAATTTGCCATCCCAAATGCACTTATTATGTGTCTGTACACGCGTGTGTGTTGATGCATTTCATTTCTTCACAATAAGCCCAAGATGAATGAGGTACTCCGGTAGGAGCAGTAAAGTCCCCACGTCCTCCCTCTCGCATAAATTATAGAATTTGGTCAGGCAAGATTAGACCTCCACCATTTGATGTCTCTGCCTT